GGCCCGGTTCCCACAGCTGAGCTCACCGTCTCAGAATGTGAGGATCCAGTTTTCCAGGGTGTTTCAGCACCAGAGTTCACAGAACCAAGACCAGAGTTCAGTTTTTGGTCCGCTTAAGTTTTCACTCCTCACCAAATGAACCAGAGCTGGGATTCAAACCAGGAACCTTGTTGCTGCAAGGTAACGGTGCTAAACACAACGCTGCTCTTCAGATGGACGGAGAGACAAATCTGATCCTATTTGATCCAAACGACCAAAACACAGCAGACAGGTTTTAGACTGTTCTTAGTGAACAGTTAAAGTTTTTGTGCAGATTAATGCTTAAAAATTTACCCATAAATTATTGTGGGAGTCATAAAACCAATACTCTTACCTCTGACAAATCTTCCTTTTTGGTATATGAAAGTCATATTTTGCTCATTTAGAAATAAAAACATGTAAATAATGTATTAATAATCCCTGATTAATTATTCTGATTAAAGGTGATCACTGGTGTGTTAGAAGTCATTCAACGGGAAAAGCAATGAATTGAAAATAGTTTCAATAGTTTATATTAGATTCTGACAGATTTGTGACACTGATTGAAACAAAATACAGTAAATCCAACTGGCTTGATCAAAACTCAGTGAAAGCAGCAGAGAAGGCTGTTAGGTGAAACAGTAACCAGACATCAAATCCAGATCAAAGGGTAAAATGTGTTGAGTTTTTTAAGTTCTCTGGTCTTTTGACGTTGATCGAAGGAGGAACTAAACTTTGACTTGCAGCTCAGATCCTGCTGCAGGTTTTTGACTTCAAACCACGACAACAATCGATTTCAATGAACAATAAAAACAGACGATGGGATTTACACGAACAAAAACATCCCAGCTTTTCTCACAACCAGAAGTTCATTCACTCAGCTGCAACACGTGCAACAAAAACACAACTAAATGCTCAGAAACGGGAGAAGAAACAGAAACTGGTCAGAAGTTTTCATACAGTCAGAAGAAAGATGAACAGAATATGCTGTTTATTTAATCTGTTGGTTTCCTGGCGCATGTTGGAAACAAGCTGGCATCAACATAGATCTCAAAGTTAAAAGCTTGAGAACTATAATTAAAACTGGATGTTTTAATTAAGAAACCAGGTAGTTTGATTGAACTGCATCAATTGTACCAAGAACAGCGAAATGTCCAGACACACTTACAGTAGAAGATTGAACACTATTAGTGAAGCAGGTAAGCGGCTGAATTTATATTTTCTGAACAAATTAGAAAAGTATGCCTTTTGGATCTGAACATATTTGAACTCAATCCCAACGAATATTTCAAAAGTGTATCATCCAACTAATGAAATAAAAAAAATAAATAAATCAAATTTCAGAAACATGACTCCAGTTCTGGGAGGCAATGAAGAGATTCTTCCACAGAAACAATGAGACACCATCAGCTGCTTTTTCAGGTAACGGTTCTGCTTGTGGTAAACTGGAAGCGCTCTGCTGCTGAGTGCCCAGCAGCTTCAGCCTGACCCTCCAGCCTCACAACAGGAAGTGAAGATGCCAAAACAAACACAGCGTCCTGAGCGCACACAAGGCTCAGCATCCAGAACGACTGTAAGAAACCGAATCTGCTCGCTTCCAGATATGCTCTGCAGCTTAAAAAAAGAACAATTTACTCAAAATAAAGCCCCACTCAAAATGTAATTATCTACATCAGCGAATTGGAGAAAATGGCTTAGTGTGAACACCAGCTGTTTCCATTCATCATACAATTGCACAAATTCCAATTACAAAAACAAATCAGCTTCTCAATTTTCAAAAAATGTCATGTTTTTCTACAGCTTTTGTGCAGCATCAGGTGGTTTTTCTGCTGCACCAAAATGAGCTTATTTTGAAAATCTTTTCTGCACATAAACAACCGGTGCTGCATGTCTTTTCATGACTTACCACAGGAACAAACTTATTTACATGTGATTTTAGTTTGTTTCTTTTGCAATGGGAGTACAACAATTGCAACATTTTTTCAACGTTAGCAAAATATTTTTTTTGAACGTCAGCTGCTGTTGCTAAGCAAAGACGACTCAAAGTGCAGCATCTCTAAAAATATCTTTACCTAAACTGAACGTACAGATATGTATTCATTACATTTGTCTCCATTCATCCATCTTTGGGTTGTGGTGGATTAAATATGTTTTCTTCAGGTCAGTTTTTGCGTTTAGCTTCAGGATAAGAAAAAGGATGAATTACAGATCTGGTGTCGCGGCCAAAATCAATTCAACAATCCTCTGACAGAAGTTGAGCCGGTGAAAGGTAAGAAATCCAATCAACACTAAAACATGGCAGCCGTGGCGGCGGCGCCTCACAGTGATAATCTCCCACAGGATCAGTCACACTCCAGCTTTAATCTACTGTTCCTCCGTTTTCACGCAGAAGGAAGCGTACGCTTTCTGAACATGTTTTTCTTTGTTGCCTCCATTCATTTCCCAGAAGCAGGTGAACAAAAAGTGATCAGATGAGGCAGTGATCAATAATCACTGCCTGCACTGTGCTGCCACAGTTTGTTAGCGTCATATTGTTAAACAGAAGCTAAAAGCTTAGCGAGTCGCTAACGATGCAAAACATTATTGGCAGTTTTAGTCTGAAAAAGAAGGATTTGCTAAATTATTCACAACTTTCCTACATAAGGATTTCTGTTGTTTCACATCAGAATAAGCCAATATTGATTAGCAATATTGTGGCTAATTAAAAGGCTAGTTTGAACAGACTCATCTGGAAATTAGTTTTCTCATAAGCAGAAATCGTGTCACAGTTTTTTAATGCTAACAGAATCATTTAGAGTCTTAAAAAGAAACGTAAATAGAGGCCTTTAAAAAAAGATAGATAAATGCAGAACATTGGTTGATTTGCAAATTTCCATAAAATTGGACACTGACTGTAGCAGCTAATGTTTCTCTGATTATTACTCTATGTTGTAATTTCAGCCTGCCTCAACCTAAAATGACTGAAAACTCAGAGATAAATAAACTTTTCATTAATTTACAGTTCATTTGTTGGTATATGGAGAAATGAAAAAGATAATTTTGGACGCACAAACTGAAGGAAATGGTTTCCCTAAAAGTAACCAGTTCTGCCAGCAGATAGTTTGCAGAAAAAAAACATTTAATGGTAGTGAAGAAAGTCAAACATTAAAACAAAAATGCCTGCTGTTCTGTATTCATGATTACTGAACAGATATTTCCTCACATCCGGCATGTAATAACATTGTAATAACCAGTTTATTGGTTCTGTATGAATGAAGCTGGAGGTGGACGCTGGGCGGCACGGAGTCACATCAACAGATGGACAATGCAGCAGGTTGGTGATGTTGGATATTCATCTTACTGAATAACATCTAAATGACCAGAAATAATACCTTTTAAATACTTTTCTAACTTCCTGTATCATTTGCTGTGCTACAGTTCTATTCCTTGCTAGCGCCTTATCGGGATTCGTGAGTTTTAGTTGAATTTGCCCCTCAAACGAAAAACATGATTGCTATTTTTTTCTGTTGTGTCATTTTGCCACCACCAGGGGTCGCTACAGCCCGAGAATCAACTGATTGGGTTTCTCTGATCTGAAAAAGTGCTTTTCCCAAGATGTTGTTGCTACATACATAACTGTGATCATAGGGGTGGGCGTTATGAAGTCAGAGTTTTTATCAATATTTTGTTGTATTTATTGCAACAGCAACAAAAGTGATGATAAAGGTAAATGAAAGGCTGTGACTCTAAGTTACAATGCTGTTCTTATTGTTAAGTATTATCAAAACTAGAAGGTTCAGTTCATTTTATGGCCATCTATCAACACAAAGTAGTGAATTAGTAAAGCAGAAGAACATGATTCGTGAATTTTAGGTTTTTTACAATTTAAAAACAAGTTTTTGTGGTTGGTCTCTGCCGAAGACTGAAGTTTTTTCTCATTGTTCATCTGAACAGCAATCTTCAAAGTCTTTCCAGAGTTTCCAAATCAAATTGGATTCATCTCTGGGCTTTGACTGGACCGCGCTAACAGATAAAAAAGCTTTTATTTAATCCACTCGACTGTAACCCAGTCAAACAAGTTTTCTTCCATAAACGATGAGTTTTTATCTTTGTTCGCCCTTTATTCAGCTCAGATCATTTCCCTTTTCGTTTTCATAAAAAAGCCGGCCCGCAGCATCATACTGCCATAGAAACAGTGGTGGGTCTGTAATACATCTTGGGCTGGACAATAACTCAATAACTATTGATATCACAGCAGACACATGGTCAATAATATGTCTGATTGATACAATGTTCAATAATTTTGCTGAACTCCGATCCAGAACCGCATGGCATGCTGGGAAATGAAGGCAGAGGAAAGACTTTAGCCACTCAAACTCTCATGGCCAGTTAAGCAAGGTTGGACATATCGACTAACCAATTCACTCTTTGGTTACTTATCTACAACCTGTTGAGTATCTTGCACAGCAGCAGTTTCAGGTTTTGCCTTCATGTCTCATAACTGCTTAAAAATAAAAAAAACAGGAAAAACAAAAAATCAGGCAAACAGTTTGGCAGCATTTCAGATATTTTTAAAAAACCTAATCAATAACTGACAATGTTGCCTGACATAAAATGCTTATGTCATGATAAGCATCCAATGAAAACATGTGTGCTGTGAATCCACTCCGATTGGGGGAATCCGTTTCTTGTTTTTGATATTTTTGTTTTAGCTCCATCCATATCTTGTTTGACTGCAAAAAACTTTAAAATTAACCATAATTTACCTTGTTTTCATCAGCTTTAGTGAATAGCAGAAAATCACTGCTGCTTCCAGTCAGAACACAAATAATTAGCAATCATTCAACCTGATTACCCAATTTTTTATACAAGAAATAACATCTCAGGGGAAATTTGTTGGTAGCTATTGCTCCCCCTTTAAGAAAGGAGATAAAGTTTGTGTAATCCAGCAGCACCAGTTGATCTATCCTGTAAGTAGAGTGTTTTGTTGGTCGGCCTCCCACCTTGCAGCTGGTAATCCAGTGAGTTGTCAGAAGGGGCCTGCAGCAGCGCCGACCGGCGGTACACCACATGGACCCGGCCCTGGTCCTCCATCTCCTGAGTGCCTTTCTCCAGAGGCTCGATAAAATATTCATCTGAGTCGGTTCGGATCATCCCAGCCTGGAACAGAACGGGTCGCTATGAGTGAGCAGAACCACAAAGACGCAGTTCTGAGAGGAAAAATAAATAAAGATCAAGCTTCAAGTCTTTCTGTTATTTACTGTAATCAAATATTAATGTCTGGATATTTCAGGATTTTCTCCGTCATTATGAGAAACTGCATGACTGGATTTACCTGAAAGAATATGACAAGAAATGCATTCACAATCTGTTTTTATTATTGTTAACAATGAACAATTAATCAGATTAATTGTGATTAATCGACCGCTGAGATAATCAGATCATTTTTGTAATTAACCGCTAACTGAAGTACAAACTCACAAAAAGAGGCCATTTGATGAAAAAAAAGAAAAACATATTTAGAGCAGAAATTAAGCCAAAACTATTAAAAAAATAGCATTTGCGTTTTAGATAAACCCACCTTTGTCTTTGAATGTTTGGATAGTTTTAGCTTCACCTGGTTCAAATTTACAAAATGTGTTGATACGCTTTAGGCAATAAAATGTTGATTTTATTAAATAAAAGAAACTGAATTATTTATTTGCATATTTTTGTGTTGTTCTGTTAAGAAAATACTGTAAAATCTGTAGAATGCACCATTTTTTTGATTAACCACTAAATGAATTGATTAGTTGCAGCCCTCATCAACACACGACAAAATGTCTAATAAAACAGCGCCCCAGTTGAAGATGAATAAAATATAGGAGAGAGAAAAAGCAGATGTGCTGATGCAATATTCAGCGGTTTGTCCTCTGAAGAATCTGTTTCCAGTGTGAAAACGTCTCTGCGACACCATCAGACGTTGTTTCTGTTGGTTTTTCAGCAGTTTCCCATCTGTCTGTAATTATCACTTTGTTACCCGACAACCGCTGGTGGAGATCAGAAACCTGAGCGTCATTAGAGGCACAGTGGAGCAAACATGGCTACCTGCAGCCTGCAGATTTCCTGCAATAAGAAACCAGCCATGTTTCTTATTTAGAGCGGAAATATGAGGGGACCGCTTTTAAGTGAAATAACGTACAAACTGGATGTGCGGCTCATTAAACCTAAATGATGTGGTGGAGCCAGTGTCATGTCTGCAGGCGAGCCTGAAACATCAGGCATTTGTTAAAACGGCCTTGGTGACAGTTTGTAGCAAAATGTCAATGATGACAACACAGCGCCGTACACAGGCCGGTACTGCTGGGGAAGATGTGGGAAGAATCTTTAAGTTATTAATGTTTTACTGCAATAATGTAATCTCACTCTGAATAATTCATTTCAATAATCCAACCTTAAATTTGAGACTCTAGTCCTTAATGATGTCAAATTGGGTTTCATTCCCTATGATTCCACATGCCTCATTCACTCAGCTCCTTCAAACTAGCCAGCTGCAATTAGCAAACCTCTGGTGGAACTATAATACTCTGATGAGTGACTGTCAGTGGCATCAGTAGATGGCGTAGAGAAGCATTGCTGTTATGGTGAAAACCTTTTCACACATAAACACTTAGAGTAACTGTTGAACCACATATTTATTTCCTCTAACAAATTCTGGGGATTTAAAGGGGCCGCTTTATAGCACAATCAAGTAACTTTGTCACCCTTGGTTGTTATAAAAATCCTATGCAGTATATATCAAACATGACTTAAAATAAATTAGACTTTGGAATTTAGCAGCTTGAAATTGGGTCTCTGTCTCTTTAAGAAACTCCCACTCTTTCTGAAACACCGCCTTCACGAAGACATCCCAACATGGCTCCTCCATTACCCTTTAGCAACATTTTTACCAGAGTTTCACTGAGAATTAGCTCCTATAATGAGCTCAACAGTTCCACCAGGGGTTTGCTAATTGCTGCTGGCTAGTCTGAAGGAGCTGAGTGGGGGAAGAGCTGCATCTCAAAGGCGGAGCTTGGTTTACCCATGGAGATGCAAACATGCATGAAAGAATCAAAGCAACACTCTAGGTATATTTATGACGATGGAATAACATTATAACATAATGAAAAGCTAAAAAAGTCAATTTTACATATAATAATGTCTCTTTAAAAACTTATTTGCACTTTGTATCATAACCAGCACCATGAAATATGAGAAAAAGAAACCCAAATGATGCAATATCTATTGACAAAGGAGAAACCAAGATGTTTATCTGTACACAAAAACTTGTGTACAGGCCTCCGACTCTAAGGAATCGGCTCCGGGTCCGGGTGCGGCGGCTGCGGCTCCGGGTCCGGGTCCGGCTCCAGGTTGAACGGTGAACCTTTGGGCCCCATATTGCCTGCTTGGTGAATTCTTTCTCCATTCTTTTGTCTAAACCCATTTGGGGTTTTGCAAGTCCCTGATCTGCAGAGCCTCCTCTTCTCCTCCCTCTGCAGGAGCAGCCGACTGAGCCAGTTCACGTTTGTGTTCACTTTAACTGGAAAGTTTGTGGCAGTTGCTCCCAGGTCACATCAATAAAACAGCGAGATGTGAAAGTCCTGCAGGACCATGGGTCTACTGACAAAAAGCAGATATGCGTGCCAAAATCTTTTCCATACTTAATGATGTTTCAGTTATCACGTATGAAAGTGGATCATTTTAGCTGTCCGTCTGCCACTTGGCTTCATTCCTTATGAGGGAAACTCCTTAGAGCTCAACTGAAAGAAGTTCGAGTCTAATTTCCATGCGATTAATCATCCTCAGAGTTTTCAGCCAAATCCTGAAGTCGCTCTGTTTCCTTTAACTGCAAGCAGAAACTCCCGTTTACTTCCACTCATCAATTATGGTGCCATTTGTTGCCATTACAACTGGTTCTACACAAAATACATACATTAATGAGCATAATGAATGTTTCCAGAAAACTGTTGTAATTCAGTAAAACACTGTTTATACACCTACAAAAATACCTTGTTTGTGAGTATAAACTTTGGGGGAAAAAAAGGGCTAATTCTCATTTTTAAAAAAGAAGTTTGAACTGATCTTCTTCTTTGTCATTTCTGTCAGTAGTAACATCCAGCTTATGTGACTCATGATGCAAAAATAAAAACATCCTCCCAAGCTCTTTTAACGCCGTTTATTTCAGTCAGTAAAATATTTTAATCCTGACCAACTTTTGTGCAACTGCATTCCAAATTCATTTTAAAGTGCGTCATATTCAAACTGTGAAAGTCAGACGTCGACAAGTCGCCCATCACAACCATCGTTTGTCTGAGATTATAGTTATTATTATCCAAAAAGTTTCTATAAAACCAATTTACACCCAATGAGGCCTTAAAGCTAATTTAGCCACAGAAAGTCATGCAGCTCTTCATCTTATTACTCTTTATTGTCACTTCCCATTGTAAAATCCCAAACAAAAAATCTGTTGAAATTTTGTTTTGTTCAAATCCAAGATAAAAGGGGGGAAATGTCAACGCAGTGATACTTTCAAAAGCCTCTTCATGAGAGCTAATGTTTTTAAATAATGAAGTTTAGCTGTGGGTTTAGCAGATTTAGAAATCAGTTCATGCTCCAAAGACATGAATATTTAAATCCAGAGAACTGATTTAATACGTGTGTTATTGTGTTCTGCAGAAGTCCCTGCAGAGCGCAGGAACTGTCATGTCAGAGAAAAAGCAAGGACAGACGGATAACCCAGACGTGCTGCTGTGCATTGTAAGAAAAACAGCAATAACAACGTTGCTTTCAACGAACTGTCAGGTGTAGTAATGATAACATAAACCAATTATTGTTGATGAATGAGTTTACTCTAACTGTAGTCTTATGGAAATGTGTGTGCAGAACAGAAGGCGTTTCCATGTCAGCATTATGTCTGCACTTATCTCCTGCCTGCAGACTCATGTCGTCTCCAGGATTTCTGCGTGTCAGCAGCACAATCACAGAAACGCAACTAAATTCACAATGAACTCATTTCAAATTCTTTACAGCCACCAGCATCGAGACGCGAGGAAACCAAATGATCCTCTGTAAATCACTCCACCACCTCCAATTCACCCGTTTATTTCCACTCATCAATTATTAACAAGCAATTTATTCTGAAAGACTCAAACAGGACGGCCTCGGACGTCACCGAGACGCTTTAAAGGTCCTTCAAACAAAAGTCCACTGAGATTCTCTGACACGTTGGAATTCAGTCAAACATGAACTGCAACTCATTTTACACTCTGATTCATAAAAGAACAAAGAAAACACAGACATTTACCCAAAGAGGCCAACTGACAATCTGAAACTCTGTCCGACACACAAATAGCATAAACTTCAGATTCAGTGCAGTCGTGTCTTCCCAACCCTTTAAAACTTGGAAAATATATATATTTCTCTACATATTTGTTGAAACAGTCCCTCTGTTGTGACAGTTTAATATGAGACAGAATCTATGAAAATAACTGAGCTTCTTTGACTTCTCCTAGTGCTCACAGTACTAACTAGATCAACCAATCAGAACAAGGAGGCGGGTCTTAGTGCTGTCAATCATGCCCTTTGCCCTGTGCAATGCTGCCTGGACACAGATAAACAGTGGAGAAACAGTTTTCTATAACGGTGAGCTGTTTCCCCGTCATTAGGATATTTAGCAGCGCATTCACAGGCTTGATTGACATCAATAAGACCCGCCTCCTAGCTCTGATTGGTTGTTTTTGGTGTTTTTTTTTTCGACAGTAATAGCAGTTCAGGGAAAAATGGAGGAGATTGGCTTTTTCACAGATTATCTGTCTCTTATTAACAAAAACATTTTTCCATATTGCAGCTGTCACAGCTGAAAATGTCATTCTGTAACAAACGTAGCAGACGTTCTGTAACAAACGCAGCAGACGTTCTGTAACAAACGTAGCAGACGTTCTGTAATAAACGTAGCAGACGTTCTGTGCCAAACGTAGCAGACGTTCTGTAATAAACGTAGCAGACGTTCTGTACCAAACGTAGCAGACGTTCTGTACCAAACGTAGCAGACGTTAGACGTTCTGTACCAAACGTAGCAGACGTTAGACGTTCTGTACCAAACGTAGCAGACGTTAGACGTTCTGTACCAAACGTAGCAGACG